AGTGTTTGGATAGAAGAAAGAATTGCCTCAGTTATTTCATTCTCTGATAAATGCCAAGTACAAACAGACAAACATCAATTGCAATCAAAGGAATTACACATAATATCTCTTGACTGCGTCAGAATTGATAGCCATGTCGATGCATCTTCCCTCGACATCTGTCAGACATAAGGCGCCATTGGATAACACTCTGGTCACAATAAACGGCCCTTGCCAATTCGGGGCGAACTTGCCCTTTGCTTCGGCCTGATGTGGCAAGATTCGTTTCAGCACCTGCTGTCCTACTTCAAATTTCCTGGGACGCACCTTCTTATTATATGCTCTTGCCATCCTCTTTTGATACAACTGGCCATGACATACTGCTGCCAATCTCTTTTCATCAATCAAGCTCAACTGCTCCAATCGGGCTTTGACCCATTCATCATCATCAATCCCAGCCTAAGCGATAATCCGGAGGGACGGAATTTCTACTTCTGCCGGTATCATTGCTTCAGTTTCGTATACCAACAAATAAGGAGTTGCACCTACTGAAGTGCGGACAGTAGTGCGATATCCCAACAATGCAAATGGCAACTTTTCGTGCCATTGCCTGGACCCTTCTACCATCTTCCTCAATATCTTCTTTATGTTCTTGTTGGCTGCCTCAACCGCGCCATTCACCTTGGGACGATACGGGGTGGAATTGCGGTGTGTAATTTTGAACTGTTGACATACTTCTTTCATCAAACTGCTATTGAGATTAGCACCATTGTCCGTGATGATCACTTTGGGGATCCCAAATCTACAGATGATATAGGAATGAATGAAATCCACCACTGCCTTCTTTGTTACCGACTTGAAAGTTTTAGCCTCAACCCACTTGGTGAAACAATCGATGGTGACCAGAATGAACCTATGACCGTTGGAAGCTGCCAGCTCAATCGGTCCAATGACATCCATGCCCCATGCAACAAATGGCCATGGTGCTGACATTGTATGCAATTCTGTTGGCGGAGAATGAATCAAATCTCCGTGTATCTGACACTGATGGCATTTTCGCACGAAATTGATACAATCATTCTCCATAGTGAGCCAATAATACCCTGCTCGAAGAATATTCTTCGTCAATACATATCCGCTTATATGTGGCCCACAAACTCCCGTATGTACCTCTGTCATCAGTATAGTGGCTTGACCAGCATTTATACATCTCAGCAATCTCAAATCTGGTGTTCTTTTGTATAACACTCCTCCACTGAGGAAAAATCCATTTGCCAATCGCCGAATGGCTCTCTTTTGATCTCCGGTGGCCTGCTCTGGGTATATCCCCATCCTGAGGTATTCCTTGACATCATAAAACCATGGCTCGCCATCCATTTCTTCCTCTATCATGTTGCAATAAGCATGCTGATCACGAACCTGGATATGCAATGGGTCAACATGAATTTTGTCTGGGTGGTGCAACATCGATGCTAAAGTGGCCAAAGCATCGGCAACCTCATTGTGAACTCTTGGGATGTGTCTGAACTCCACTGATCGAAATCGCTTGCTCAGATCGTGCAAACATTGTCGATATGGTATAAGCTTCAAATCCCGTGTTTCCCATTCACCCTAGATTTGATGCACCAGGAGGTCCGAGTCTCCCAAGACCAAGACGTCCTGGACATCCATGTCTGCAGCTAACCGTAAGCCCAAAATGCATGCCTCATATTCAGCCATGTTATTGGTACAATAGAAACGTAGTTGTGCCGTAACAGGATAATGATGTCCTGTTTCAGAAATAAGTACCGCTCCTATTCCAACTCCTTTCGCATTTGCGGCTCCATCAAAGAAGAGCTTCCAACCTGGTTCCTCAGATAATTCCAACTCATCTATATGCATCACTTCTTCATCAGGAAAATACGTCCTCAATGGCTCGTATTCTTCATCAACAGGATTCTCAGCCAAGTGATCGGCCAATGCTTGGGCTTTCATGGCCGTCCTCGTCACATAGACGATGTCGAACTCCGTGAGTAATATTTGCCATTTCGCTAACCTCCCTGTGGGCATAGGCTTCTGGAAAATATACTTCAGTGGATCCAAGCGTGAAATGAGATAAGTAGTATATGATGACAGATAATGTTTAAACATCTGTGCCACCCAAGTTAGGGTGCAACACGTTTTCTCAAGTTGAGTGTACTTAACCTCATAGACCGCAAACTTCTTACTGAGATAATAGATGACTTGCTCCTTCCTTCCTGTGATATCATGTTGCCCCAGTACGCAACCAAATGAATTCTCCAGTACCGTTAGATAGAGAATCAACGGTCTTCCTGGTTCAGGTGAGACCAACACAGGTGGGTTTGATAGATACCCCTTGATTTGGTCGAAGGCTTCCTGACATTCTGCCGTCCATTCTACCGCAGCATCTTTCTTTAGTAGCCTAAAATGGGTTCACAAGTTTTCGTGAGTTGAGCGATGAACCTGCTGATATAATTCAACCTTCCCAACAGACTCATTACTTCTGTTTTGTTCTTCGGCGGTGGCAATTCCTGGATGGATTTGATTTTTGACGGGTCCAACTCAATGCCTCGCCGACTGACGATGAATCCCAACAGCTTTCCAGATGGAACACCAAATGCACATTTGGCCGGGTTGAGCTTAATGTCGTACCTTCGAAGTCTTTGGAAAAACTTCCTTAGGTCTGCCACGTGGTCTTCCTGACGCTTAGATTTTATGATCACATCATCTACGTACACCTCAATCTCTTTGTGTATCATGTCATGAAACACCGTAGTCATTGCTCTCATGTACGTTGCCCCAGCGTTCTTCAAGCCAAAAGGCATTACCTAGTAGCAATAAGTCCCCCACGGCGTAATGAATGCCGTCTTTTTCGCATCTTCTTCATTCATCAGAATCTGATGATACCCAGCATAGCAATCTACAAAAGACCTGATCTCACGTCCGGCACAATTATCGATCAAGATATGGATGTTGGGTAATGGAAAGTTGTCTTTGGGGCTTTCCCTGTTCAAATTGCGGTAATCGACACACACTCTGATCTTCCCATCTTTCTTCGGCACTGGCACCACATTAGCCAACCAATCAGGATATCGAGTGACCAAAATAACCTTTGCCTACAGCTGCTTGGTTACTTCTTCTTTAATTTTCACACTCATATTTGTCTTGAACTTCCTCAATTTCTGCTTGATAGGAGGGCACGCCGGGTTAGTGGGCAATTTGTAAACCACTAGATCGGTGCTTAAGCCCGGCATGTCATGGTACGACCATACAAAAATATCTTTGAATTCAATAAGTGCTTTGATTAGTTCCTCCCTGATGTTCGGCTCAATGTGGATGCTTATTTTGGTTTCCCTGACATCGTCTGCATCCCCTAAATTGACAGCTTCAGTGTCATTCAGATTGGGCTTGGGTTTCTCTTCGAACTGGCTTAATTCTCTGTTTATCTCTTCAAAGGCTTCATCCTCATCGTATTTCGATTTATCATCATAATCGACCTCTTGTACAATTAGTTCAGAATCAGATTGATTTTTTAGACTAGGTTGAAGATCCGTTATGCATACCATGTCATTAGAACCGGTATAAAGAGAACTGTTCAGAAAGAGAAAAGAAGAAAACAGAATTAAAAAAAATAAAGAGAGAAAACTTTCACTTTATTAAAATGCGGGATAACAGAGTTTCACGCTTTTGTCGAATACAAAAATAAAACAAAACTGGATTACAACTCTGGAATAATCCAGAAAACAAGAAAGAAAATCCAGAGCCTACTACCAAGACTCCCTCCGGGTAGGAAGAGGAGTAGTTGTCCAATTGTTGATATTGGCCCTAGGCCCCACAAACTGTATATCTGCCCTACTGGAACCTTCTCCAGCTTCTATCACGTTGACGTCGGCGAACAGCCTTTTAAAACCTTGATTCAAATCTCCATCTGACCCAATCAAAGGTCCAAGAATTTTGGGGACTAACAACTAGGGGTGGGCGTTCGGTATTTCGGTTCGGTATGTAAGAATTTCGGTTCGGTATTCGGTTTATCAATTGTGTATACCAAATACCATACCAAAATATTTCGGTACGGTTCGGTATTTACTATTTTGGTTCGGTACGGTTTCGATTTAACAATCAATGAATATTGAATAATCAATGCTAAATTGCTAAATGCTAACGCCTAACCTAACAGTGCACAACTGCACATGCAGTCATGCACAATTGGAACTTGGAAGAGGAATCACAAATGCAGTGTTTTCAGTTTTCACAATTGAAATTCTAAAGTGTTTGCACTTTGCACAACTGCACAATGTGCACAAGTTTGAAAAAACTGAAAAGCCTGCACAGTGCACACTGAAAACACTGAAAACTTTGCACAAATTTGGAAGAGGAAGCACAACTGCACATGGCTCATGGCTGAAAACCTGAAACAAGAATAACATATTATTCTGCAGACAACAACTTCACAATCTGGCAACTGCAGATGCAAACTTGCACGCCAGATCTGGCAATCAACTTAATAGTTAACACTTAACACTCACAGTGCAATAAAAACACAGTCCAAACTTAAGCACATGGCAACTGAACACTTAAACTGTTAAACAGTTAAACTACAGATGCTAACTTGCACAACTGCAGTCTGCAGATGCTAAACTCATTAACCCAGTGCAATAAAAACACAGTCCAACAAATGCAGTGTTTGCACAATCGAAATTCTAAAGTGTTTGCACTTTGCACAATGTGCACAACTGCACATGGCTCATGGCTGAAAGCCTGAAACAAGAATAACATATTATTCTGCAGACAACAACTTCACAATCTGGCAACTGCAGATGCAAACTTGCACGCCAGATCTGGCAATCAACTTAATAGTTAACACTTAACACTCACAGTGCAATAAAAACACAGTCCAAACTTAAACACATGGCAGCTGAACACTTAAACTATTAAACAGTTAAACTGCAGATGCTAACTTGCACAACTGCAGTCTGCAGATGCTAAACTGCAGTCTGCAGACAACAAACTTGCGAACTTCTCTGTTATCTTCTTTCACCACAAAGTATTCCCAAATATCGGAGCATTGAGCAGTAGCACGGGGCATGATTGCACTTGAACTTGAACCTAAAAAAAATATAAATCATATGTTAGAATATTATAGTTTGATGATAATAAAACAAAACTACAAACTATTAAGTATATCATTATCACCAAACAAATAGAGTATTAAACTTACCACTCAAGATGCAAGTTGCAACTATACATCAAACAATGCTAGTAGTGCTTCCATTATTTTCCATATCTAAAGATAATACGACCAAATATGTCATACAAATGAAAAAGCATGATATATTATTTTGAATTAAAATACACACAAAATATTAAAGCTTACCAAGCTCGAGTTCCTCAAGATACTTCAAGTCTTCTTCAACACTAATAGGATTCTTCTCTTCTCTAAGCCAATCTTGAACACAAATAAGAGCTTGCACACATTTAGGAGTCAATGAACTCCTAAATGAATCAAGAATACGGCCACCAGTGCTAAACGCGCATTCCGACGCCACACTAGAAATTGGAATTGCCAACACATCACGAGCCAACTCCGAAAGAATAGGAAATCTAGGAGCATGTGTTTTCCACCAACTCAAGATATCAAATTCTTCACTAAAAGGCTCTTGTTCTTCACTAATGTATTTATCCAACTCCGATTTAGCACCCCCACTTCCATTGTCTTCCTTTTGTTTCTTTAAGCTAAGCTTAGTCCTAATTTTTGATGCACTTATAACACTCCCACTAGGTGTATTAGATGTGTTGTTAGATGAAGTAGAACTAGATGGAGATTGAGGACCAGATTCGGTTGAATACTTTTTTAGATACTCTCCAAACAAAGAATTCATATAAGCATACACCTCAACATTTATTTTCTTCCCTTTTTCCTCCCCAAAAAGTTCTTCAAGTGCTCCCTCAACATATTCAAATTTGTTACGTGGATCCAAGACGGAAGCAATAAAAATCATTTTATTCATCTTTTCAGGCTCACCCCAATACTTCTTGAACTTTTCTTGCATTTGCTCAACCATTTTTCTCAAATGCCTATCCTCACTAGCTAAACACATTTTCAAATGACAATAAAGTTCAGATACATCCTCAAAATGAGAATTACAAGTGACATAACGTGAACCTGAAACTTTTTTAGTTAGCTCGTGAAATCTTGCAAGAAACTCTATCACATTCCTCACATTCACCCAATCATCAGATTCAAGAGGACCTGTATTACCACCATTTTCACAAAGATGAGAACATTGATATGCTATTGTTAGTTGCTCATATGAATATGATATGGTAAAGTTCAAAAATCAGACCTAAACAAGGTAATACAACCAAAAGAAAGAGTATCAACGTGATACAGATGATATTTTCCTACTAAAGGGAAAAGCTCGGAACATCAGTTCATTCAATCAGCAATACAACCAAAAGAAAGCGAAACATACCTTTGAAATTGAAATTGAATCAAGCTCGGAAGACTGAAACAGGACAGCAGCGTCTTCGACACTTCATTTGCCCGGAATCGAATCGAGCTGGAAATCGCCGCCTATAACCCTAAAATAGTTTGATGCAGAAAATCAGAAATTAAATCTCAACAAAAACCTCAGAGAGTAGTCGAGTACTGGGATGAGATCATGAGAATGAGATGAGACTTACAAAACTTACAAAATTAGTGAAGTTAATCGGTGAAGATGAGATGAGACTCGAGCTCGAATGTCGACTGGTCGTAACTCAACTCGCAGACTGATATCCTAGAGTCGCAGTCGATTCTCGTCTTCTTCTTCTCGTTCTCGATGATATCTCCTAAGCACCAAAGACTAAAGCAGTAAGCAAACCCTAATACCCTATCTCGATCTCGAATTCTCGATGATATCTTTGACTCCCAGCCCTAGACCCCAAGTGTATTAACACCAAAACTCTGAGTGTTGGACTGTTGAGTGTTGGGAAAACGTCTAAGACTCTAAGGTAGAATTGGGTTTGGGGCGCAGCTGGGCCTGGATGTGGGCGTGTGGGATGTGGCCCAAAGTCAAATAAAATAGGTAATTGGGTTTGGGGCTTTGGGGTTTGGGCTGTATTAANAGGCCACCAGTGCTAAACGTGCATTCCGATGCCACACTAGAAATTGGAATTGCCAACAGATCACGAGCCAACTCCGAAAGAATAGGAAATCTAGGAGCATGTGTTTTCCACCAACTCAAGATANTGGTATTTTGGTTTACCGAAATAATTCAATTATAAAACCGAAAACCGAACCAAAATACCGAAATTCAAGTACCGAATTAGACCGAAATACCGAAAAAAATGAAACCAAAATACCAAATTAATTTGGTTCGGTTCGGAATTCGGTTTTTCGGATTTTATGCCCACCCCTACTAACAACCTTTTGATACCTGCTCTGACAAAGGATCTAGAAGGAAGTGGAACTGGCTTGGGAAGAACCCAAACTTTCTTCTTCAACTTTTGGGCCCGTCTTACATCTGCTGCCGTAGGCTTGAATCCTAGCCCAAAAGTGTCCAGGTTCTTGGGCAAAGAAACTGGCTGGACCATACCTTGCAGATCAACCCCCAAACCTTTTCCTGGTTCAAACCCGCTATTTAGCATTTCCGAGGCTACCATGAAGGTCACAGCTGCGATCCTGGGAAGTGGAAGGTCCTCGCCTTCGGAAATTTTATCCACTGAAATCGCGTCGAAAACCTGGTACACCCATGGACCTTTGTCGTCATCAGTTTCTATGAATGGCACAACGACATCACTCACAATGCTTGTACCATCATCCCCGTGCACCACTATCTCCTGCATGTCCCATTCAAATTTCACCATCTGGTGCAATGTAGAAGGCACTGCTTTGGCAGCATGGATCCAGGGTCGCCCCAATAGAAGATCGTATGATACTGCCACGTATACCACTTGGAATTCCATGGTGAATTCCACTGGACCAATGGTCAATCCCAGTATGATATCACCCACCGTGTCGGTACCACCTCCATCGAGACCTCGGACGTAGATGTTGTTCCTGTGAATCCGGTCATGATCAACTTTCAGCTTGTACAGAGTAGTCAAAGTACAGATGTTGGCGCTTGATCCATTATCAATCAATACTCGGGTGACCACCGAGTCTTCGCATTTCACGGTAAAGTATAGGGCTTTGTTGTGTTCTGTACCCTCTGCTGGCAATTCATCATCAGAAAACGTCACTCAGTTAACCTCGAAGATTTTGTTCACTATCCTCTCCAAGTGATTTACAGAGATTTTATCCGGAACATGGGCCTCGTTCAGGATTTTCATCAGTGCCTAGCAATGATCGCTGGAATGGATCAGCAGTGATAGTAACGAAATCTGTGCTGGGGTCTTTCTTAACTGCTCCACAATGGAGTAGTCTTGTGCCTTCATTTTCTTCAAAAACTCCTCAGCCTCTTCCTCCGTCACTGGCTTCTTTACCACCGGTGGGTTGGACCTACTTAACTCTACGGGAGCAAAACACTTTCCCGAACGAGTTAAGCCCTGGGCCTCACATACTTCTTCCACAACCTCCTTCCCTTTGTACATTGCTATCGCTTTACTGTAGCTCCATGGCATGAATTTCTCGCTGGTTATCGGTATCTGCATTACTGGCCTGATGACAACTGGCCCTATGCATGCTGGCTTGCTTGGTACCCCTCGCACCGTTACATTGACCGGCTCTGGATTCTTTGCAACAACAGACGAACTCTTCCCCATCACCACTACTGGCTTGACGTCTACCTTTTCCAACTGTACCACCTCTTCTCCACCTGTCGACTTTTCTTTTGGACTGGCACAGATCATCACCGTCTGTGAGGATTTCTTTAGCTCCCCTCCTTCGTGCACAAGCTAGATCATGTGGGTTTCGTGGTGTGCTGGCAACGGGTTCTGATTGATATTGGGTGCCTCCGGTGTCTGAACCTCAATCTTGTTGGTGTCAATAAGACCTTGCACTGCACGTTTCAACTTCCAGCACTTCTCGGTATCATGTCCCGGAGCCCTCGAACAATACTCACAGCTTACCGAGTGGTCTATATTTTGGGAAAGGGGATTCGGCAATCTGGGCTCAACAGGACTCAACAAACCTAACGGCCTTAATTTGTGGAACAAAGCAGTATAGGTTTCTCCCAACTCGGTGAATGTTCTTTGTCTCTGCACCCTTTCATTTTTGAAAGCCTGATTCCCCCGGAAACCTGGCCCTGCGGGATTCCTGTAGGACCTTGGTAGTGGATATGTGTTTTGTGGAGGTGAATATGTATTTTGTGGAGGTGGATAGGTATTTTGGGGAGCCGGCGCGCGCCACTGTGGGCGAGCCGGAGGCTAGGTATATGTCTGGGCTTGATGGACGGAGAAATGTGGTTCTTGTGGTGGGTAGTAGGGCTGTGGAGGGTAATTTGGAGTGTGTGGGTAATTTGGGTGATGGGGTCTGGCTTGGTAGCGGGGGAAAGGACCTCTCGATCTGGACCAATTACCTGTCTCTATTGTTGCGACCTCTTCTCTTTTCTTCTTCCCGAGCGCACCTCCTGTGCCGCTCAGAATGGCCTGAGTTGTTGCTTTGATTGCCGAATAGCTCAGGATTTTGTTGGACTTAAGTCCCTCTTCAATCATACCGCCCATTTTCACCACCTCATTGAAAGATTTGCCAACTGACGTCACCAAGTGACCAAAGTAAGTTGGCTCTAGAGTCTGCAGAAAGTAGTCCACCATTTCCCCCTCTCTCATCGGAGGATCAACTCTTGCTGCCTATTCTTTCCACCGGAACCCAAATTCTCTAAAGCTCTCTCCCGGCTTCTTCTAAAGTTTCAGCAATGTGAGACGGTCAGGGACGATCTCAAGGTTGTACTGGAAGTGACCTGCGAA